GCTGACTTCGGCTGCTTGAATACATGAAACATCCATTGATGAAATGTATCCCACATGATGTTGAGCGACGTGTCTGCTTGTTTGCACTCCAATCGGCATCGCTGAAGCTCTCAAGTACCCATCGGTGTTGTCCACCAGAAATAACCTTTCCTTGGCCATCTTCAGGAAATGGCAGGTGCAAACCAATGTCCCCCACAGATTTCATGAAGCCTACCATCTTGCGTAGGCGTGCAAGTGAAGTCAAAGTGGGAGCACTCATGCATGACGCCAGCTCCTTTATGGTATACATCAAATCTGGCCTTTCACGGCCTGCATACAGACATAGGCCCACAACTGAGCGGTATCCCTTGGAGTCTTTCTCTGAAAGTCTTTGAGAATTGTCAGGCAACTGGATACCTGCATCGCATGGCACTTTCTGTGATCGTGCCGATCCAAACATCCTCTCAAACAAAGAACCCACCTTGTCCACCGTTGTACCCGGGGCCAAAACTAGGCCATCTCCAACCTCCATGATTTTCCTCCTCAGGAAGGTAATGCTTGATCCTGGGCCTTTCAACTCATCATGACTCACTGAAAATCTCTCTTTCATCTTCTTCAGAAAAACGTTGTTCCAGAAAGATTTCAATCCCACAAAAAGGATATCATCGACATGTATCATGATCGAGGCCTCAGGTGTCCTTGCCAAGCATGGTTGCTCCGGGCAAAACTCAAAATTCATGCTTTCCATCAAGAATGATTTCAAACACAAAACCCACTGTTTTGCTCCAAGACGTTGGCCTGGGAGATTTCTCTTTATGATAAAAGGCTGTCCCTGCAAAACCACACGCACCGGATCATCTTGTTCAACCTGCAGAAAGGCATCACGCACATCCAAGCTTCCCATAACAACATCGTAATCCTCCTTGCATGCTGTCTCACAAATCTTGCTTTTCATTCCAAGATATTTCAACTGCAGAAGGTTTGCTGTATGGGTTCCAGTTGCAGGACTGAAAGTGTCCAATCTTTTCGTTGTTGCAAATTCACGCGCCACCAGTCTGGATCTGCGCATCCATCTTTTCCTTTCACCTTCACCTTCTCCATAAGACTTCAAACGCCAATCCCTGACCATCTTTGTAGTCAAAGAACCTGTGATTTCGCCTTGGAACTCGGATTGTGGCACCAAGACTTGCATGCTGCACAAACGGTCAATCTCCACCTTATCTGCAAGGTCATCAATCCAATTTTCTGGACTGCCAGGCGCGGGTTGATCTACTGGAGCGTCTGACCACAAATACTCTGGAATTCCAGTCAGCACAACCGCATCTTCACCAACCCAGTCTTCATCCTCTTCAGCTGATTGTTCAAGATTCAAATCTGTCTCATAATCATCCATAGTGAAGTACTCTTTGTAGGCAATCTTGACAGCACACAATCTCTGCTCGTATTCAGCTTGTAACCTGGCAATGCGCTGTCTCTTTGATTCATGCAAACGTTGCCTCTTTGAAGAGTCCTCATCTGAGGGTTCTGCTGCTCGAGATGTTGCTGGCTCTCGAGGGCTTTCAATCTCTATATAGTCCCTGGGCGGTGTCACCGGCACTGCAAGACCTGGATCCCCTGACATATCATCTCCAGTATTGGTCAAATGTGGATTCTCTGCTGTCACATGGATTGGTCCACTAGGTAATGCAGGACCATCATCATCCACAACCTGCATACCTTCCAGTTCACCTGCAACTCCTTCACCAAGTTTCTCTCGCAAAGCCAAACTGAGTGGGTCATTGGCTGACATGTGCAACTGCTCCTCCTGCGCTTTCTGTTCATCAATTGCATATTGAATCACTGCTTCAGCATCTTTGTCGTGCAATGCACTTTCTTCAATTGGTCCCAGAGGCACCTCAAACGCAACTGACTTCGGCACTGGTTTTCTCATAGTTGGCAAGATTCTTGCTCCAAACCCAGCTTTGTACTGCCATGAAAAACACCGACAATGCAAATAATACGCCCTGTGACTTCTCCATTCAGTGTTGATTCTGCGCACGCTTCTCGTAAGGAGAATTGATTGTCCATCAAATGCCACATAGCTGTTTTGAATGTCAGCTTTCCCAAGAAATAACATCCTCTTCCATTTGGCAGTCGCTTTTGTGGTTGGAATCACATAGCCAAAAATTGGCTCCCCAAACTCGCACAACTCACCAGCATATGTACGACCAAAAGCCAGTTCATAAGGTGTGGCACCTCTGATCACTGAAAACCTTGAAATAAGCCATGCTGAATGTCTCAGGGCCCAACTCCAAATTGCGCTCGATGTCTCCAGCTGAATTCCAAGTCTTCCATGAACATGGTGCATCAACGTACATGCCAAAGCTCTGACTCTGCCAACAGCATTCTCTGCAAGGCTGTTGCCACCTTTGTCATATGCCACAGAGCTACTTTCACGTGTCTTAAGGCCCATACCTTGACGTGTCTTTAGCACCAATCGCTTCAATTGCAGTATTGAAGGTTCATTGTCGCAATGCAAAATCACTTCTGAATGCCCTAACATTTGCACAAACTTGATGATCTCCCTGTTTGCATGATCCAGCTGAGATTTCCCTTCCAAAGGGATGCATGACACAAAATCCTGTATGGCTGTCCACCACTACCAGTGCAGTTATATTGTATCGGGATTGCCTGAATCACCAGCCTGACCATCAGATTTTGTGAAGAAGTAGTCAAAGGATATGGTGGGCACTGCTCCTGCATGCGACTCACCTGAACGTTCATGGCGATCAGAACGTGCCCTGTGCGCAAGACATGAAGGGCACCACTGCTTGTATGGCACATGTGTCAACCTATGTTGTGACTGCTCATACTCACTAGGCACTTCTGCAGAAACTGGTGAAAGTGGATGTCGTTCCTGCTGTTCAAATGCCTCTTTTGCTGCTGCCATCACTGATTCCAACTCAAGTTTCTTTGAATGTTCAATCAAACGTTTGAAACACTTCTGCTTTGACCCTGAGCTTGAAATCCCATAGAATGAGCACCCAGCTCGTAGCGTGGCTAGCGAACTGGATTCCCTGAGAACAGTTCCATTTACGCAAACTTCATCCGCTGCAATCGGCTGCACCACAATTTGACCTTCAGGAACATCTCTCCCTTCAATGGGAGGCTCAGCATCCATCACTTCAATGTCATGGTCTGCATCTGCTTCAACAGGAAAAACTTCATCTGGCTCATCAACCAATGAAAGTCCCATTGCACGTGGATCCTTCTCTGATTCTGTGATGATCGTGATAATGTTTCTACGTCCAACCATGTCATGAAACTGAGCATCCAACTGCACAAGTCCCTCAAGCATTTCACAGAGTTCCATCACATACCACCTTTTGTTGTTTCCTTCAACCAACGTTGTCCTGTAAAAACGTCCATTCAAATCTGGTCTTACAAGCAATGGATCTTGATGGTGGTCTGCATAGTGACGCCCAATTCCACACCCGTTTGAATCCAACTGCCAGCCTACTGAGCCATTGACAATGCTCTCATCAATTTCTGCCTGGATAGCCCTGACATGAAAACTGCCTGGAGAAATGCAATGTTCAGTCAAGACTCTGATGCTGCCATGCACGACCATTGATTTGTTCTGCAACTCTAAGGGAACTGCCGCGCCTGCTATGCTGTGAACAAGCATTTGTTGGCCGCCATCAATGCCCCAACCGTTTTCAAGCATCTTTCCAAAACTCAATATTGGTTGAGACACCCTGTCTGAAATCGCAACCGTTTCACGCAGCAAAATGACGTTCAGTCATGTCCCTCAAAGCTATCTCCATGTCCTTTGTGGCTTCAATTGGAATTTCAACTCCCTGTGCATCAACCAGGCGTCCAACTGAGGCTACAGCAGGTGTTCCTTTCTCCAACAGGCTAGATGGAAAGATTGAGGCGTCTGCCCCACTGTCCAACAAGATATCATGCTTATTTAGTCCTAGGAAAACCGTGGGCACTATTTGTATATAAGACACCAGAGTACATACATGTCATATATGTATATGCTCCTGCGGTGTCCTGTACGCTTTGTCCTAAACGCTTGTTGTCCAACCATGCTGCCGCCAACCCCTTAGGGGTTTATGCGCTTTCGGAAATTAAAACTTCTGCAAATCTTCCAAAAAACCTTCCACTTCTTTCATCACATCCGAAAAATTAAAAACATGCTGCAACTGTCAATGATCACACTCGCACAGTAGCGCCATGTCTTTTTTCCAACTGGCGCATTGGGGATCGAGTTCTTGGTCAAGCTGCCGTCCTATCAACGGTAGGGGTAGGCCTGTTGAAACAATTGGTTTAACTGATTTCTGAGGCTCTCGAAACCCTGTCAGGGTAATCGTCTGCCAAAATACAGTTTTTGTGGTGTGAGGGTGGGAAAAACAGGGCGGGTGTTGTCACACCACATCGAAGGCTGATGAACGGAAAGGACTTCGACATTCACAGATTAGTTCACTAACACCAGTTAAACAAGGTTCACATGTTTGAATTCCTGTTTAAAAGGTTCTCAAAAATTTAGGCAGCAAGGTTTCCTGTTTCACGTTTAAACAAAACCACAACAAGACAGACACAAGCGACATCCACAAAGCGCACTTCAAAAGTTTGATCTTTGCCCACTATGTTTTTGTTTGACAAAAACATTTTTCCTTTGGCCAAATAAGGTCACGATCTTTGTACCAAAGAGTAGTAACTTATTTAGTCCTAGGAAAACCGTGGGCACTATTTGTATATAAGACACCAGAGTACATACATGTCATATATGTATATGCTCCTGCGGTGTCCTGTACGCTTTGTCCTAAACGCTTGTTGTCCAACCATGCTGCCGCCAACCCCGTAGGGGTTTATGCGCTTTCGGAAATTAAAACTTCTGCAAATCTTCCAAAAAACCTTCCACTTCTTTCATCACATCCGAAAAATTAAAAACATGCTGCAACTGTCAATGATCACACTCGCACAGTAGCGCCATGTCTTTTTTCCAACTGGCGCATTGGGGATCGAGTTCTTGGTCAAGCTGCCGTCCTATCCCCCATTTCGAGATCCAGCCCAAGAACCTTGCCCATTGCCAGCCAGTCTATAGGCCCTTTCACTGCGCCCAGTTCTAGAAGGAGTTTATCCTCTAGCCGGCTTGGTGAATCCGCCAAATTCGACAATGACGGTACCCTGGCAAACCACGACTTCAATTGCAGCTTCATCTCTTCAGCGGTAAAAGCATCAACCATGCAAGCCGCAAGTGGTGTGGCTCCTTGGCCTTTAATAAAAGCGGATCTGCTAGCTTCGTTGTCCAAGTACCAGCACACTTGAGCTAGGTTTATCCTGCCTTTCCACAGCCAAACAGACACCAGAACCGGAAGGACCTCCAGCTCGTAGATGGGGTTTTTGGACTTCTGCAACAAACATCGCATGATGTCCACTGGCACCACACCACCAAAGAAAGAGACCACTCGACCGAGCGGGTCAACAAGCACGCCCCCCACGCCACCTTGTTTGTTGTCATCCGGGCCCTCACAAGCTCCGTCTGTAAAAATAACCCACGACTGCAAACATGCTGGTGTAATGGACAGAGGCGGCGCGGTCAGCACACGCTCGCACAGAAAACTAAGGGCCGTCATGTCGGTCTCTGATAGAGTGATTCTTTTGCGACCACTCAACGCCAGTTCTCCAAGAACTTTGACTGCGCTGTTTGCCACCCTTCCGAAAGCAAAAGACTCAAACCAGTGAAGACGTCCCCGCATGGACTCAGCTTGTTTTGAAGTGATGCTTTTTTCCTTAAGAATTTCTTGCAGCACCAAACTAAGCTCTTCCCGCCTTTCCTTGGTGTGGCCCAGTTGCACCACTCCAGCTCCAAAGGTCTGAAGGTCTATTTCCACACCCAAACTCTTGAAACGCTTTGCAAACTCACAAGCTTTATCACCGTCTCTTGCAAATTCTACGCCAAGCAGATCGAAAATGGCCTCCACCGTCTTAGACGTGTTGGAAACCAGGGCGTCCCTTGCAAAAACTGTGTAGTCATCGAAAAACGCTGTCCATACCAACCTGAATATCGCCATGCCAATGTACCAAATGGCCAGGCTGACTCTGAGGAAGCCCCCCACGGACCCAGAAGCCCCAAAGGGGAGGCTATTTATTCCAAACAGATCCACTCCATTTGTGTGCGGATTTCGGACTGCTAACCGGATAGTGTCACGGTCTGCCACTGATATACCGTACTGCTTGTACGCGTGTTTCAAGTCATATGTGCGTCCAGAAACGCCTTCAACCCCATGTCCGTTTTGCACAAACTCAACCATGTATGCAAGAAAAGCCGCACACTCATCCATGGCATGAACCCTATACTTCTCCACTGCTCCCATCGTAGAGTTTATGCCCCCTATGGAGCAGTCGTCAATCACTCTCAACTTGCCAGCTCGTTGAACCAGTCCAAAACGTTTCGCAAGGAAAAACTGCATGGGGTCAGCGTGCTCATCATGCCATATGTATCCGAGGTTAACTTCCTCGAGCGTCTTCTCCCAGGTTTTTTGGACCAGCTCCGCATCATCTTTGTCTTCGCGCAACTGTTGTAAGATGGCTTTGTTTAAGCCACGTGCCATTTGTTTCAACGTCCCCAAAGAAAACTGAGGCCTTTTGACACACTGTGGAAAAACCCCTGTCTTGTCCTGCCACCCAGTTATGTTGAAACCTCGTGCTAAATCCTCCACCAGTTGTTTGTCTGGGTAGTTGACTGATTCCAACATCTCCTTAAATAAGAGAAGCCGCTTCTTCTGCAGCAGCGCTTGCATGTGTTGTGGCAAGCCGCCCTTGTATTTCTTTTCTTGTTCTTTAAGCTGTCCTGCCCTAATTGTCCACTTGGTGAGCTCCCTGCACCTATGCAAAGCAAGTTCTGCCGGCTCCTCTGTCAAGTTTTGTTCAATGACCTCCTTCGCCAGCTGTGGTAAATGAACAGCCATACCTCTCGGATGGCCACACTTTACAGCTCTTTCACAGAAATCCAACGGTGCCCTGGGTACCCCATACTGCGATACCATGACTTCTTCCTGTCCAGACATGCCATCAATTGAAGAGTGACAAATTTGTTCATCAACCCGAACCTCGCCCCTTTGTGCAAGACGTTGATGAACCAGTTTTGCCCCTGCAGGGACCACATCAGTGGGATTTTCAACCTGAGGTGCATGCACAACTGTATGGTACTGACCATATTCTGAAACCAGCGGCTTGAACTTCTTTCCCCTTGGAAGTGCTGACAGGACCACTCTGTTTAATGATGTGTGTTCGACTTGTATCTGTTGCTCCAAGTTATCCACATCCACCACTCCAAGCTGCAGCAGTTGGTCGCGGACGATCTCCGCCATTCTAGCACACAAGAGAATTGGATAGGCTGCTTCCTCCGCTGTCGGGTATTGCACTTTCCCGTCGATCACTTTAGGTTGCCAGCTCTTATGCTTGTGGAGACTCTCCCCTGGGCACGTCGCAGAGAGTGGCAACAACCATGGCAAAGAACCCCAAAACCTTGAGTTTTTCTTCCGTGCACCTCCATGACAACAATTGTCAAAAATGCAGTCGTATCCCCCCAGGTCGTTTAGCAAATCCACCATGCATGGTATAATCCAAAAAAGACTGTTTGTAGGGTTTTCGATTGTTACAAAAACTCCCCAAGCAACCAGCATGCGTACCAACTTGGCCGTAACTTCGTATACGTGGTTTGCTGCTTCTGTTCTGACCAAATCCACTCCTGACAAGCCTGGCAATCCAAGTGGGTGTTCAGAGGATCTCAAAGGTTTGGGTACTTTGAAGCCTGCTTTTTCTAAAACCCTATTCGGCTTCTCACGCGCTTTTGACGCTGTGCCACAAGCGGGTGCAAAGTGCACCCAACCGAGATTCTGCTGCTCCGCTTGCAAAAACTTTTCCAACATGTCCAGCTCTTCAGGTTTTGTCACATCACAAACAAAAATTTTTGTACCGTGTGATCTGTCCGATGTCTTGTCCACTGCCACGCTACGGCAGCCAATGTGTCTGCAGGCACGTGCTAACCGGGCTGACCCGGCATATATTTCCACCATCAACACCTCATTCAGCGACTTCCCTGAGAGCCTGTCGGTTGGACTGACTGTGCTGCCATCTTGCTGTGAAACACTTTTGCTTTGCAAAGATTGCAATGTCCTCTTTGCAGCATCTAGGTTGAAACTAGCCTCATTGGCATCCTGCGCTTTGCGACAAGATTCCGCCCTCTGCATTGTCGACGTCTCGTCTGTACCTGCTGTAACGGGTACGGCCTGTGAAACTGTATGTGGACCCTCAATCGACTTTCAGGCATTGGCGCGGCAAGTAGCCACCCCATGATTATTGCGTAGGCACTTCATACAAACGTGTGCCCCCTTTTTGCAACGCCCATTCTGGACTGATTCTTTGCATCCAGACTTCATGTTGAAGGACCAGCAAATGGGTCTGCCTTGCTCATCCACTTGTTTGAACTCCTTGAGCTCGGCAGGGCACAACGTCTTGGCGCGCTGTGACTGCTTTCCTTCTTTCCTGACTTTGCCTTGGCCCTTTGCCCCGCTCTTTCCAAACGGGTTTTGTGCTGGCGCTCCCGCTGAGGAAGCTGGGGTTTTCGCAACTGCATGGCTGGGTACTGGCAACAAAAACATGGTGACCCTCGGATCTGTAATCAGTTTTTGAAAAGCAGCATTCATGGGGCTGGGCACATCCGTCAGCCTCTGATCTCCGTGTTGGTGCTCCTCCGCCATGATCATGAATAACTCCTTGTCTGCTTTGATCACTTGGTCAATCTTAACTTTGGTGTAGCCCTCTGGTGCAGCCTTGGATAGTAAGCCCAACAAATACTGGACCCACCTCTGATGTAAGTCCCAGTCCACCAACCGGCATTGGTCAAGGGCAATCCCCCTGCGCTGCAAGCACCATTGTAGTTGCAACTCTGTATTGCTGTCCGCCTTCAAGGTTGTCTCAGCTGCAGTGACCTTGACAGTTTGTTGTTCAACCGACAAAATTTGAGACTTCTCCTTTGTCGCAGCCAGTTGTATTTCAGCCTCTCTCTTCGAGCACTTCGATGGCCCTATCCATATGATGGTGTTTGACTCCAACATCGACGCAGCCAAGTCTATGAGGGCGTGACTGGGCTGAAGTTCACCTGCAATGTGTAGTCCACCCAGCCTGGCTTGTTGTTGCTGGAGCCTGGCTTGCTTCTCTGCAGCAGGAAGTTTCCTGCTACCCTCGGCGCTTGCGTCCAAAGACACCTGCTGTTTTGTATGGGCCACAATCAACGTACATGCTTCGAAGTGCAACCTCCTAACACGAGACACCTCCGATATGGTCATGTCTGTACCGTTGTTCAGTTGTGTACAGAAAGCATCAAAATCACCTGCTGTTGCTGGGGACTGAGGTGTCCCAACTGCAAAACCCAAATCACTGAATGTTCTCAAACTGTTTCGGGTCATCACCGTCTTCAGCCATCCTGATGCGTCTATCTTGTCACAGTGCACATGGAAAGTCGCCTGAGAGTCCACCAGAGCCATGTTGTACGCGGTCGCACTACGAGAAAAACCTATGCGACAATGAGCTGTGTCTGTACAAGTTGTGTCCTGAAAGAGTCTGCTGAAATTCAATCCAATGCAAATGAAGTGAGTTTATGTTTGAAGCAGTCCATGGTCCCTCATGAAAGAGCTCTCACTTAGCTCTGAGCCAATCTGCCCTGGTCCATTCATGATCACATGAACCCTCCAGAGCAGACTCACACGACGTCACCGCTAAATTCAAATCTCACCTTCCAAAAAATTTCAAAAAGTTTATTTCAAACAAACGCAACATGCAGCTCAGCCCTACTACATGTAGTTCCGCTCAGCTGCCTAGGTTTCTGCCTCGCATTTGTGGCGTTTTGCCATCAGTTCGAAGTCAGCTGGCTCCAGGGCCGATAGTTTTGAAACATTGTGTGCACTTGATGACATCAAATCTGTGGTCAAGACCTTCCTTTCGGAATCTGTCCGTAATTTTCCTACCACAAGACAGCACCCTAATGTTCCCTTTGGGAGCAAGATGCACAGTACGAAACTTGACATGTTTCCATATGTCTACATCATCTGGAATAAGAAATGTTCTGTTTGGCGCCTTTGGTAAGACCACGGCCTCTTCTCCACTGCTGCTCTCGCTGCACGTCGTGGCGTAGTCGGAAACCAGGTCAATGGCTTCCCCATTCAACTCACTTGCATCAAGAACCACTGTCGTTTCCTTTTTGACCGTTTCTACAACATGCTCAACTGAAACCCAGCCCTCATCATGCCTTTGTTCAAGTTGTTGTACAAACCTGCCACTACGTGTTTCGTCTGGGAAAAAACGTCCTTCCCTGACAGCTCTGATGCACTCCTCCAGGACTCTCAATGGCCTGGATGCCCCATCACGACTGTAGCGCAGTGCCATCCTAACCTGATCTGTATGGTACCCCAAGGCCAAACGATCCTCAAATGAGCATCCAAACTTGGCAAGGTAAGAGAGACAAGTTGCTTTGAAAGAATGTGACGTGTACTGCAACGGTGACTGCACAGCTGTTTTGGAAACCTGCTGCATCAAAATCACATGTAACCACTTTCCAGCCTCAGACGTGGACAAGGGCCTAATTGTGGGTGTGCCTCCTTCATCAGGCGCAGGCATCAAAGGGAAAACTGACAAATCGTCAATGTCCAGTTCTTCACGTGCTCTTTTCCAATGAACCGCCCAACAAGAACCTGAAACACCTGTGCCTGGTGCCGTCAATGGTAAAAAGGCATGTCTCATGTTAAGTGCACGGCACGTCTTGTGAACAGCTGTTGAACACTCCACAAAACATGTTGCCAGCATCGTCACAGTCCCATTCCAAAAACTGGGAGTGTTGGGCATCAGACCACCTTGCCCTGCCGTAAACGCAGAAAAGCACCATGCCGCAAAATGCAACATTCCAAGGATCGACATCTGACTCAATGACTGCATGTATGCACCCTAAGTGCACGACCATCAGAGGTGGTGCCTGCTTGACCGTCTCCATCTCTTTTGAACTTGCAGCCCCCATACATCGTCTGCTCTCTGTGGCAACATCCAAGGACTCGCACCCAAAAACATGTCTAACGAAAACTATTGCTTCCATCAGTGCTTTCAGCCTAGACGATGGGGCCCCGGCGCTCCTCTGTCTGCACAAGTGGTCGTACAGTTCAGCTTCACTGCAAGGAAATTCCAAGTTGTTTGCATGCAAATCATTCACCAATCTTGAAATACTGTTGCAACGTTTCAACAACGTACCAGGAGCCTTATGATGCAATATGTCAACAAGTATCTGACATTGACTTCTGAAGTCTGTTTTTTCCTGAAGCATCTGTATAATGCGTTCATCTCCTTTCCAAGTCATTGCACAACTATGCCAGCGACGAATTGCCACTTCCCATGTACTGTCCCTCTGTTCCCTCCAAGACTGAATGCAACTCTTTGAAACAACGTCCATGTATGTGGCAACCTTCAAACGCTTGCCTGGCACCTCTGAGCTCCCTGCCGGTTCCTCCAAGCTACGTTCCATAACGGGTTCAGAAACCACTGCAGGTCTGTGCAATGAAAATTGTTTTGAAACCAAATCTGTTGTGCTCTCACTGTCAGCCGCTCCAAAAATTTCTGCCCAAAAACCACTTTCCCAGAAAAATTCCACAGGTTTAGGTTCAAGTTGAAGCCAAGAGTTGTCCAGCACCCGTTCTCTATCGTAGACCTTCATGTCGACAGCTGGAACTGCATCTGTATCTTCAAATGTTCCAGGAGAGTAACCTTCTGATGTGTTCTGCAAACAGCCATCTTTGTGTTCCAAAAGAAAACCAGGTTCTAAGTCCAATGCAAGGTCCAAACGTCCAAATGGGTCCACACCACCAGAGCCAGCACCATCGCTCGCAGGATCGGCCCGCGACGTAACAGCTGCACTGTTGTGTAAATCTCCACCAGCAAAAGGTGGCTCACCAAACCCGGAGTCCATGAACCCAAAATGAACTATACCCCCATGCTGTTGTCACACCACATCGAAGGCTGATGAACGGAAAGGACTTCGACATTCACAGATTAGTTCACTAACACCAGTTAAACAAGGTTCACATGTTTGAATTCCTGTTTAAAAGGTTCTCAAAAATTTAGGCAGCAAGGTTTCCTGTTTCACGTTTAAACAAAACCACAACAAGACAGACACAAGCGACATCCACAAAGCGCACTTCAAAAGTTTGATCTTTGCCCACTATGTTTTTGTTTGACAAAAACATTTTTCCTTTGGCCAAATAAGGTCACGATCTTTGTACCAAAGAGTAGTAACAGTTCTTCCAAACGCTCACTGGCCATGCTGTCATGTGAAATCGTACGCACAGCACCACTGAAAAAACTTTCATCACAAGCGTCCTTCAAAGAGTCACCAATGTAATGGTAAATTGCATGAACACTTCCATGAAAACTGGCAGGGCTTGAATCACGCATGTCAAACACCAATCCATTGTCACTTGAACCAGTTGGCAACTCACAAATCCTAGCAACCTTGTACTGAGTCGACGACGATGGAGGCACTGGATGCTGTTGTTGAGAAACACTGGACATCCCACCAAGTGAAGAAGATGGTGATCCCTGAACTGCCGTGGAACCTGCAGCTGCTTCTGAACCAACCTGTCTCACCTGACCAGAATGCCAGCAGTCTTTAGCCATGTGACCAGTGCGTCCACATACGTAACATGCTTTTGAGTCTCCTTTTCCTTTGCCCTTGGATCGATCGTTTTGCAAACTGACGTTTCCCTTTGAAACCTTCTGATTCTGATCTGAAGGCTTTCCTTTTCCTTTTCCATCTTTGTTCTTTCCTTTTCCTTTTGACTTTCCCTTTGAATTGTCTTTTGATTTTCCCTTCGAGCCTTTTGACTTGCCCTTGGACTGCACACGGTCTATTTCCATTGGAACTGGACCTTCAGCAGCACTCATTGCACTGTCTGTACCCAGCACCATCTGTTCAGACCATTTTGTTGTGCTCTCGAATCGTAGAGCAAAACCATCTCACGCACCTTTGCATATGTGGTCGATTCATTGACCTGAAGTTGTAGCCATACCTTCAGCTGTCCAGTCAATGATCTCATCAAAATGGCCGTCTTGAGATCTTCATTGAGTTTTGTCCCAAGCTTCTCGTACTCTGCAAAGGCATGCTCCAAGCGCAACAACTGCTGCATCAAAGAAAGCTTACCTGTAAACGCAGGCCAATTCATGATGACATTCAAAAGCCCCATGCTTCTGTTCTTTGAAACCGGCTCATTCTGCTGAATCAACATCCGGTATGCTTCCAGCCCGTTTGAACCTGTCACGTTCCTAACCACCAGCAAAGGCCTCTGACGAAGCAATGATGAAAGAAGGCTGTACAGAAAATGATTTCTCTGCCGCTCTGTATCTGTAAAATCCACAGGATCAACAGCTTGATTGGGGTTTGCACGCAGTTGTTCTATATCATCTGCAAATTTGGCATCTATGGAGGCAACGTACTGCTCGAATGCCCATGACCACTCACGCCATGCAGCTATTTCACTTTCTCTATTGGTATGCTCAAACGTTGGTGGCTTTGGCAACAGTCTCCACCATTGCTTGCTGTCATCAGTTGAAGTTCTGGAAACGCCTTCAACTGCTCTGGTAGCTGCTTGAGCAGCTAGGGCAGCTGCTTCAGCTGCTTGCACCATACGTCGAGCCACCTCCATGCCATCCACACCTTCAACACCAGGTGTAGCTGCTACTGCAGCTGGTGATCCACCAGCAGAAGGACTACCAACCTGCGGTGAATCCATGTCCCCAATCTCAGCCTCCTCCTCAAAGAAATTGTCAAAGGAAAATCAAATCTCACACTTTCGTTCTGCTGCAAATTCTCTGTCAACGCCAGGAAAACTGTACCCACAATCCAGCACCTGTATTTTCCAGAACCTGTGTTTAGACCTTAGGCCTACCAGTATATATCCAGAATTCCAGTGTTTGCCAGTTGTATTCTAAATCCCAGCTGTTCGTCCAAATGCAGCTACCTCCAGAAAGGTTCAGCACCAGGAAAGCGTCTGCCCGCAAGCGGGCTCCGCTACCATGCAAAGACTCAGGCGAAAACGCTGCAGTCTATTTTCACTCGTGCCAAAAGGGTCTCACAAGTTTCAACTGCACATGCTGTTCATGTCAGTCTATGAAGTGAAATGACAAATGCAACTCTCTTATCGATTTGTGCGTGTCATCCTGGCACATGTGAGTGGGCTCCACAACTTTCCACAATATCAGACATATCATACTACTACCTGTTCACATGTAATACATTGCCATCATATTCATACATTTGTCAGATATCGGTAACCCGGTAACTCAATATGCCCGGTCTTCAGCAGTGATTATTTGATGCTGATGTTGATGCTTTGTTTGTGGTTGCAGTCTGCCTTGCCTTGTTGTATGCATTGATTGCAGTAGTAGGAGGTACCAGGTATCCGGTACTGGTGCTGAGTACTGGGTGGCATTGTTCTTTGAGGCATTGTGGGTTTCGGTTTGTTGCCGTTGCTGTGACAGTTGCTGCTGCAGTTGTGCTGTTGCAGTGGTGGTGGTTGTGGTGGTGGTGGTTGTGGTAGTTAGTGGTGGTGCGAATCTATACTGTGCACATGTGTATGTATATACTACGATGTTTACGTCATGTGTAGTGTGGTGTGTTATGTGCCAATCTTGCTTGCTTTCCTTGCTACATGAGATTAGATGTTTCATGGCTGTGTCATGTGTAAAAGTTGATCTTGAATCCACAAGACAATCTGATAATGATGATAATGATGCGCTATCTTAGTAAACCACTGAGTGATTTGGATGTTTACAATCACAATTTGTAAGTACAATCGTGTCACGAAGCTGTGTTACAATTAATGTTATTATTTAGTGTTTTTTCATGTGTTCAATTGAATTTTTGCGGTTTCGCTAAGAGTTGGGCAGCGGCTAAATGGTTGCGATGCAATATACCACAGTATACATCACAAAGAGCTTGTGTTGAGATAACTTATCAGTTGAATCAAAAGACTTGGCTCTACGTGTTACATGAGTATAATTCAGCACAATATACTCACAGAACAACAACAAGTAAGTTCAGATAGTTAAAATCACTTTATTTATCCTACTACATCATTGTTACTGACTATATACTACTTTACTTTAGTAAACATTTCATCACATCCCATCAATTCTAGATTCTAGTCGGGTTATCGCATCTCATCAAATCTTATCACATCTGACGAAATCTCCCCACATCTCCACCTATCACATTAAACACCCCATCAAACTTCTCATCGCATCTCCACACATTTCATCAGACATCTCATCACATCCCAACAAGTCTCATCACATCTCACATCACCTCCACACATTTCATCCAACATATAATGACCCCTTACCAAATCTAATCAAACCCCTTCCCGTCTCATCCAATCCAATCTAACCAAACCCCTGCACATCTCACTGCCACTCAATTATCATTAAAGTTCTTTTCATCTCATCACATCTCACCAAGCATCAGCACAGCTCATCAAACATATCATCAAACAAATCACATCTTATCATCAGATCTCCTCATGTCGCATCAGATCCTGTCCCTATCAAATCTCATCAGTCCCCGCCACATCTTATCACATCTCACCACTTCCCATCACATCTCCAAACATCTCATCCAGTCTTGTGTTTTTATATGCATCAAATCCACCCACATCTCATCACCTCTCACCACATCTCTGCACATCTCATCAGACATCTTATCAAATCTCCCCACATCGCACCAATTATCAAGGCTTTTGACACGGAGTTGAAACCAAACCAAAAACAACTCAAATTTACGCCATATAGCGACGGGTTATTTACGCACTTACAAATTTAGAAACTTAAATGAGGCTATCGCCAAAGTAAGAATAAGTCGCGATAAAAAAAAATATATATATATATTTACATATATGTATATATATTGACATCACTGAATGAACTTGCACACGAATCGCACAACTCAGTTTTTGCCAGCGCACGGCTGAGACATGGGGATTTCGGATTGCTTCGAAACGAATGGAAGTTTGTCGGACTCTTCTTGATGTCCTGTTTCTTTTGGATTTCTTCTTCGAAGTATCGCAATTGAAATTCCATCCAAACACAAAGCAAGCACTTTGCTTAGCAACTTGTCTCCTCTCGTACCCCGCGTACGCTGTCTTGCGCTGTTAACAGGAATTTTTTGGGGAGCAAGGGAGGGTGGGTACAAAAAGTTTGGGAAAAGGGTTTCTTTCCCCTCCGCACCCACCAGTTGAACTTGAAAAATGTCCATGGACATAAATAGATCTCTTGACATTGAAATTGTGACTTGCAACATATGTGACATGAATCATGCAACATGTTGTGATGATGCTCAACTCGACATGTGTTCAACTTTCTTTTTTTGAAAACAACGTTGTGAAATATTGAGCACTTCGCAAAGTTGAACAGTTGTTGAAAATAAAGTAACAAACAATAAACAAATCACTTCGATTTGCACAGCACAGTAACGAGCATGTTAACTGTTAGCTGGCAATACTAACATATACTCTGACACAGCTGAACGTTCAGCAGATACTGGCATAAATTCTGACTTGAAGAGAGGAGGCGTAGAGGAAGTTTTTTGGTTCGGAGGAAAGTTCAAAAGGAACTTTCAGACACAACACCTTTTGTCATAATACATCATGAGTTTTCAACTCAAGTATTGCTTATGACACGGAGTTGAAACCAAACCAAAAACAACTCAAACTTACGCCATATAGCGACGGGTTATTTACGCACTTACAAATTTAGAAACTTAAATGAGGCTATCGCCACGGTAAGAATAAGTCGCGATAAAAAAAAATATATATATATACATATATGTATATATATTGACATCACTGAATGAACTTGCACACGAATCGCACAACTCAGCTTTTCCCAGCGCACGGCTGAGACATGGGGATTTCGGAT